TTAGATAAATTTGTAATAGTCCTTGAGATAATTGGAAACAAATGAGATGTTTTAAGCCCAGAATTATATATACTGAGGAATAAAGTTTATAAATTTAGTCCCTGCAAAGAAAAATGTGTTTTATATAAAGAAGCACAGATGTGTATAGATAAAAATGTGTTCCCGACTATCTCTTTCATTAAATCTTAATACCACAATGAAATAAATGTGTAGTCAGACATAACTGTGCTCTATTTTCAAGACACAAATTTCTATTTTAATTTATCTAAAGCAGTTGGATATTGGCAATTTCATATACTTAACCTAAAACTTAGCACAACTTCAGGCACAAAGTAAATGATAAATATCAACTAGAAATTAGCTAAATATCAATAAATATCGACTAAAAGTCAGCTAAATATCAACTAAAGATCAACTGAATAAAAAAAAAATAAACTAAAAATCACTCCTAGACATTCTCAGCCCCAAGTCAAACTTCCCTACCACTCTGTCTGGTCCATAATGTACATGTCCTTTTTATCAACTCTACTGTAAGGTATTTAATAAGCAAAAATCTTGATTTATTAAACTTTGTCATTTGTCTTTCTCCATTCATTGATCCTAATTGCCACCCTAATGTTTTATACAGAGTGAATGCACAATTAATGTTACTTGCATGAATATAAAATTAATGTTTACCTGGCCATTTTTGTTAAAAATAAACTTGATGTTTTACCATAATTTTAATTTTTAACAAGTCCCACATATTTTATGGAAATATTAGCAGGTATCCATTATATTGTTCATTTTTTTTCTGGTGGTTTGGGTTGATGTTTGTAGATTGAAATGATAATAGCTCAGATGAGAATAAAGTTATATTGTATATGTTAATTAACGCAAAATATATCATTTTGAGCTCAGATCCATAGAACAAAAACTTCTATTGTAATGTAGCAAAGGTTAGGCCATCTAAGTTTTTGATAATTAACAAAAATGTTTGCTGCACGACTCCTGCGATGATATCCTCATGAAGCACATGAGATCTCTGCATAGCACATTTATTTGATGTGTGTATAGGAGAATGCATGCCTTTTTAGAAAGAGCCCATTACGTAATAAACATCAGGAAAGGATAAGGAACAATCAGAAGGTCAGGGGAAGGGGATCAGTTTTTTAAACTTCTGGGTATCAGGAATTCATTATGTGTAAAAAAAAAAAAAAAAATCAGAGTCCAAAATGCATTTTTTTAAAGTATGTTGTTATATTTTGAGAGCTTAATATTTTAAGTGCTGTCTTAAAATAGCACAAGTAATCAATGATGTTTTCCCACAAGTCCTGTATAATTTTTGCTTACAATTAAGTGTGATGCTACAAAATATATGCAGTCACATTGCATCAGTACTTCTTTTAATATCTGCTTAAAAACCATTTGCATTTTCTGTTTTTCTGTTAGCATTCAGAATGCTCCATAAAATCCAATTATGACTTTAGACTTTATGGAGAACTATCAAAATGTCTTTAGTTAATTCAACTGATATTTCAAAACAGTAAAACTCACAAAATGGAGCCACCAATTATAGAAACTATCACATGCTGCTTGTAACCGTATATTGAACATGATTTTCAAATTGCCATAACTTATATTTCTTATGTATATATTTGCTCTTTTAAAAAATTAAAGTGTATTTTAATTTCAATAGTAAGTAGAAAGTTTACATTTTCATGGATAGTTATTAAAATTCCTACTTGTTTTTTTCTTATATTTTAGACCAACTATTGGTCTCCTCTCCAGTTGTAGAAAGGCATTACTTTTATTACATTTTAAAAAGTAGCTCACTGATAGAATCAGTAATAATTATAAAGTTGGATTATTGATACTATTATCTTATAAGCACTCATAAGAAACCAAGCAACAGTGGATTTAAAGTGTAATTGGGCATATATAATCACATAAAATTATAGTTCTTTTAATTCTTTTTAAATACTACATTATGATTATTGGATCATGAGTAAGTAAATGGATAGAAGTGTGAAGAAAGAAGGAAGGAAAGAAAATGAGGCAAAAATAAGTCTGAGCTATGCAGCTTGCATTTAGTTAGGCCGATCTCTTTGATCAACATCTCACTTCAAAAGTCAATTGATGTTTGAATGATTAAAAAGCTAGACTTCCTTCTGAAAAACAACAAGCAACCCATTATATTATATATAAAAGGGGAAAATTCAATATCATATGCTCTTTAGATAGACTTTTTGCCTCTTTTGAAGTTAGTACGAAAAAATTATTTTTCTTGTAACTGAAGGACTGAATCATGACACTAATTCTCTGACTCTGTCAGATAAATGAATGAATAGGCAAGCTTAGAGAGAAAAAAGACAATAACTTATATAAGAGGAAGAATACACTAATACCTCATGATAGAATTCACATTTTGGCTAATTTTCATAAGCATGAATGTCTTTGTCTTTGGATTTATATTATATAAACTGAAACCATACAAATATAAACTAAAGAATGGCACATAGTTTATCTGACTTCCTTGCACAAAAAGGGAAACCTGAATGTCACATGCAAAGAAAAAAGAAAATTACTAGAGTCTGAATCGTGTATGGCTTGACTTTTCTTTATTGGGAAAAGATTCTGTTATTTACTTAATAACAGTAATAAGAATCATTATCATTATTAGTTTTAATAATTATAGTACAGCTGGGATATTTAAAAATATATTAATGCAGAAGGGCCAGATAATTATTCTTAAATTCCTTACTAATATGGAAAAAAAGGAACATGAAGTTAGAAATGTCTTAATCACAGCCCTCATAATAGTCAGATGGCATCATCTAGGATTTCTTGGTGAAAATATTCTGCTTAATTTATACTTAGGTAACTCAGAGAATGGGCAGATCTGGAAACTTTCTAATGTTGAAGTCATATACTCTTCAATTTTCTCTGTTGCCTTGGAAGAAATATGAAAGGTGATACACAAATCAAATTTTCATTTAAAAATACACATTTTAGCCAAATATTCTATTAAGAAGCTGAATTTCAATGCTATATCAGAGACAAGAGTGCAATACTGTATCTCTGAATATCTCTTAATTGTTTTCCTTAGGTGTCCTTATATCCATCTATGCCTTTTGCATCTTCCTGACAATGGATTCCAGTGAACATCTCAGGCTATCGAAGGCTTATCATTAATAATATTCTCAACTATTAAGGCTTTCTGACATTCCCCAAGTTCACAATGTGAAAACTGAATTATATAAAGATTAAATCTTTTGTATATCCCAGTTGGTAAAAGAGAGGAAACTGTTTTTGTTTTCTCTATCCCGAGCACTAACAAGCAACCAAGATATTTTAAATTCTCACATACCTTTCTCTATACCATTCTTCAAGGCAGTAGTTAATCTGATCAAGAGTATTTTAAAGCAAATATGAAATGACCAACTGAGAAACAGAAGCAACAAAACCCAAGTCATTACTATGGCTTATGAGACTTTGTATGAGCTGGCCTTCAGTTACTGCTCTACCTCTGTTTCTAACAGTTTTCCTTCTTCTTTCTGCTTGAGGAACACTGACCACTTTACTTCTTTTTTGTCTGAACGAGCCAGGTGTGATTGCAGCCTAGATTATTTGTGTATGCTGTTCCTTCATGCTTAAATGATCTTCCCTTAGGAATCCTCATGGTTCACTCTTCCACTTCATTCAATCTACACAAAACCATATGTTATCATGGAGATGTTTTCCTTTTCTATATACAATTGCAACATCCCCAAATGTAACAGATCCCTCACTGCTTTGTATTTTCTCCTCAACACTTAATAGTATATAACAAATGGAAAACTATGTAATTATTGGCTATATTATGAAGGCTTGGTTTAAATATTTAGTCTTTAAATTTCTATTATTATGTATTTAAATTACTGTATTTTATACTGAAGGCACTATCAGTTGTAAGTGGCAACATTATTTCATGTAGTACTATGAAAAATGTGCTGTCAACTGACTAATGCCATAGATGCATTATGATTTCAGAATATATAAAATATAGATTGAGTTTTATTAAAATGGAGTATTTATTATATTTATTGCTGTGTTTCTCACTAGAATGAAAGTTTCATAAGGGCAGAGATTTTTCAGTGGTTTCTTTACTGCTATCCATATTTTTTGTAACTATTATCGCTGTTACATCATAGTAGGTACTCAATCAATATCTCTGACCTAGTAGATTTTGGTAGTTTACGTTTGACTATTCTGTCCCCTCACTGATTCATAATAGTTATGCACATCTCCATATCTTTTATCTCCTTCTTTTATCTTCTCCTGCAGTATCACGTAAAAATGCAAGAATTTTTTTTTTTTTTTTTTTTTTTTTTATTTTTTTTTTTTTGTGAGACAGAGTCTCGCTCTCTCAACCAGACTGGAGTGCAATGGCACAATCTTGGCTCACTGCATCTCTGCCTCCCAGGTTCAAGCAGTTATCCTGCCTCAGCCTTCTGACTAGCTGAGATTACAGGTGCCCGCCACCACGCACAGCTAATTTTTGTAGTAGAGACGGGGTTTTACCATGTTGGCCAGGCTGGTCTTGAACTCCTGACCTCAGATGATCCACCCGCCTTGGCCTCCCAAAGCACTGGGATTACAGGCATGAGCCACCACATACCTGGCCAAAATATAAGAATTTTTCAAAGAGCATTTATTAATTTATACCAAACTGAGGGCCTTTACTAGACTTTATTGGAGGCAATATGTGTGTGTGTTGGTGTATATACCATGTGTGCATGCATGTGTCTGTATGTATGTCATGATTTCAGAAATCATGATTTTTTTTTTATTAATTAGGGTTAGATTTATCCATATGTGATGAGCAGTTTAAAAGTAGAAGTATAGTGGGCAATGCCAGGCTATTGTCACTCCAGGACCCAGGCTCCTTGTAACTTGAGGCCCTATCATGCACGGGTCCCAGGCCATAGTTCATTTCATAGTTGAAGATGATGCTTCCAGCTCCAACTCTGTTCCGCCAGCCGGAGAGAGAAGTGTAAAATAGAAAGATGTGGTTCTTTCCATTTAGACATGCCTTTCTAAAATTGCCCATGCTCTTCTTATATCTCATTAGCCAATGATGTCAAGGACCACATATGACTGTAAGAGAAGAGATGGGAAATCTCAAATGAATGCTCTGGGTGGTCGAAACACTAACTATTGCTTAGAAACAAGAAGGAACTTAATTTTATAAAACAACATTCTCCACCCCGAAAAGTCTCAAGTATTCTTCTTCTCACATATAAAACAGAGTCATTGCTTTCTATGAGAGACACCTCAGAAAACTATGCAATTACTACTTCCAGTTTATAGTCCAAAATGTCTTAAGGATATGCTACATATATATCACAATAGTCTAGTGACCTATAAGCCATATCACAATTTAAAATCTTCTGAATATTCAATTCCCACCCAACTGGTATGGAAACAGGACAAATATAATGAAATGACAATGAATGATAGAAAATAAACAGCGATCAGTGACCATAACTTTCATTCAATCTTACGAGGCAAGGATAGAAAAAAATCTTCCTTCCATGACAAATCATGCCCAATAGGTTCTATCATTGAGTTTAGCAATGGAGAGTGCAACGCACCTGATGGTGTCTCAGCTTTCATAGCAGGCTTTCTGCTGGCCCATGATCGGGCCTGTAGTTTCTTTAGCATATAAGAAATTACAAAGTCTATCAGTCAGAGTGTGTGGTTTTGACAGTATAATTTCCCTCAAAACTTAATCGATTTCCAGTTAATTTCTTCTAGAACATTCCATGTGCAAGCAATTGCAGCCAAATATTTTGATGATATATATTATTTTAGCCTTAAAGACTCTTTTATTTATCATCCTCTTCCTCATTTTAAACTACTTAAAAATATCTGAAACAATAGCCTTGGGTGGAAAAGGAACCAATTTAATCTGATCTTTTCTACAGAGAGTAAAATGTGTTTGAAATAGGCTTAGGGGAATAGTTTTATGTTCAAGTCCATGTCTGAGAGCTACCATCAATGATGGCTTTGGTTTGGAGCATGAGTATATTTGTTTCTTAATCTACAGAGTTACCAAATTATTGGGCTTTCATCAGTGAAAATTGCCCAGTTTGTTTTTCTAGGCAGAATGATAATCTTTGTCAACTCTGCTTTTGAACTGGCAAATTCTAGGCTAAGTATTGCTCTCTCTTAAGCATCTAGAAATATTTAATTAATACCTACACTTTGAAAATTTCCTATCATTTGCTCTAATGCTATAGCCTCTTTTAGTATATGATCTGCCTTTGAACAAACAGCAGTACATAATTTCTGCCAAATATTTTGTTACTGAATAGTACATGTTATTACCTTTTAATGTCTGATCCTTCTTGCCTAACATATGACAAATTCTACTAATCCAATGTCACAGGTTTAGGTTTTGTTACTTATGGCACCATAAGCAAGATAGCAAAGTCTGCATTAGTCAAGATTAGGTTTGGCCAAGTAGCAGAATATGCACAATAAAAGTGATTAAAACATAATATTCCAGTGGATAGTGTTGGACTCCTCACAGTGTTGCATCTAAGGTCCTCGTATCAAAGGGCGGATGAGATTATGGTATCTGGTGCCATACTGCCTGGGTTCAGGTTTCCCTTCACCGCTTAATATATAACCTATAGTAATATAACTCTATCTCTGTGTGCTTCAGTTTTCTCACCTCTACAATTGAGATAATAAATATCTCATAAGATTGTTGTGAGAATTAAGCAAGTTAATACATATAAGGAACTCAGAACACTTCCAAGCACTGGGTAAACTGTATATGTGTTAGCTTGTTACCAGGTAGCTTTTTCTATACAACAATTTTCGAAATACTAGTGTCTTAAAATACCAACCATGTATGTTGTTTACTTTCTTTGACTCTGCAGTTTGGGCAGTTTGGGATGAGCTTGGCTGATCTCTAGGCTGGGATACATGGTCAGCTGGTAGGTCCACTGGGACTAGTTTATTTAGCATGACCTCACCCGAGAAAGGTAGAATAAATGGACCTTCTGTCGATGTGTTCTCACATCCTCTAGCAAACTAGCATGAGCTTTTTTACATAGCAAGTTCTGGTGTACCAACATTTTTCCAAATCTACGCTTGCATCAGTTTTGCATCAGTTTTACATTGGCCAGAGCAAGGAACAAGTCAGCACATGTTCAAGGAGTGTCGAAAGACTCCAGTTCCTGAAGGCGAGAGTTATAATGTCACATTGCAAGAGGAGATGAAAAATGTATACTCATTTTTGCAACTGACTACCACTATGATTCTGATTGCTGCTGGTGTTGAGCTGTGCCATAAATGACCTCATTCCCAAGTTAGTTAACACCACAGTCCAGTTTCAACCGTCAAATTTTGCATTCCAACAATGGGGAAGGCTGAAATATCCACTTATTTTAAGGACACATGTTGAAAATTCTATAGCAGGCAGAATAATGCCCCACCCTCAAAGATGTCCACATTTCAATCCCCAGAACCTGTGACTTTGCTATGTTCTATGACAAGGGAGAATGAAAGTTGCAAATTATGATTGCTGATCAGGTAACCTTAATTTGAGGATATTGTTCTGGATTACCCACGTGAGTTTAATGCAATCTCAAGGGATCATATAAGTGAAAGTGGGAGCCTGGAGAATCAGTGTCAGAAGCATAGATTTCTGAAGACAATATGCTGCCTCATGGCTTTGAAGATGAATGAAGGCAACGAGTTAAGGAATGCAGGAGACCTCTACAAGTGAGGAAAGGCAAGGAAACAGTTTCTATCCTGGAAACTTTAGAAGGCATGTAGCCTTGGTGACACCTTGATTTTAACCCAGTGTCACCCATTCCAGACTTGTGACTTCCAGAACTGTAAGAATCAATGTATGCTCTTTTACGTCACTATGATTGTTATAATTTTTTATGTTAATTATTTTTCACTTACTCTTTCTATTTACATTTCATCAGCCAAAAGTTAGTAACATGGTCATGCATAATTACAAGAGAAGCTAAGAAATGTAGATTTTTTTTCTGGGTGGCCATGGACTTAGTTAATTTTAGAAATTTCATTTATGTGGGAGAAAATATACTAGAGGAAAATCAGTACACTTGGCCAAAAAGAACCTATTGATTTTATAAATACGGAGTTCATGCAATTATCCAGCATTTAAAAAACATTCTTCAATCAGTGAGAATTTGATTTCCAGTTTAAAATGAGGATGAAGAAGAAAGGGATAAAGAAGAGCTGGCAAATCTTTCAGATTAATGATAAATATGTGCAAAAATAAACGTCTATTTAGAACTTTCGAATGAGTTAATATTAATATATATAAAAGCCACATAACAGCACTTGGTACATAAATCAGCACTGCATAACCTCTACCCACTATGACTTTTGTGGATGTTACTATAATTCTGCAGCAATACATGACTAATCTGCCTAGATCAGTTTAATTGCTTTTATTAGTGGGGAAGTTGTTTCCCACACATTCTCAATTAGGGGATTAATATTTCTGATGCTAATTTTTTTAACCATCAGTTTTAAATCTCTTTAAAAAGCTCAGAGCCCAGCCACATATCTTGTTCCATTTTACTCTAATGGTCTTGATTTTATCCCACTTTATCTTTGCAATTATTAATGATCATTACAGCAAATCAAGCATTCTTTCTGTAATGCTAATTGGTAATAGTCAAGGATAAATAATGTATCGACCCACAGCAAGAGGAAAAACAAAACACATAATTAAAGGCAAATTAAATAAAGAAATGCTAGAAAAATTAATGGCGAAGCATCTGTAAAACTCATTTTAGGAAACTCAGAAATAAATATTGTTGTATTTGCATATGTCTACTCTGTATTGAACTCCAATCAGAAAAACAATTTTTTTTTTTTGAGTATTTATCCCTAACTCTGTGCTAGGTACTGCAAGTAAAAGGAAATAAATAATATTCACTACATATTCAGTTCTTAAAATGAATACCCAAAGAATATCATTGCTAGTAAGCCTGGGAGACATAATTTTATTATAATCGTTGCTATTCTACTTTTATAAATGCAATATGAGGCGCAGAGAAGTTAATTTATTCATACCATCACACACCTAGAAAGTCAACTGGAATTAGTACCAAGATTTTTCTGAATACAAAGTCAGTGTTCTTCCATTGCTGCTTGTGAACTAAAAATATTCTCCATGTCTTTCCCTTGCTTCACTGCTCCACTCCCATTTCCAAGCCCAAGAAACAGTAAATGACTGGGTTGTAAAATTTAAGGGCATTTTTCTATGCTTCAATCCTTCTATTGAGTGGCACTTTAAAAGAAAGAAAATCAAGCACCTGGTGTATGATTCTTTTTAAAAATATATATATAATAACTGTATTGAAATATAATTCACATACCATAACATTCACCTCTGTATTATCTTTTAGCAAATACACAGAGTTGTGCAACCATCACCAGTGTCTAATGTTAAGTATTTTATCACCCTAAAAAGAAACTCCACAACCCATTAGCACTCAGTCCTAGTCATCCCTCTTCCTCTAGCCTCTGGCAACCACTGATTTCCTGTCTCCAGAGAGTTCCATTTTCTGGACATTTCATATAAACAGACTCATACAATTTGTGTTCTTTCATAACCAGCTTCTTCTACTTAGCATAATGATTTTATGGTCATTCATGTTGTAGCGGCTTGTTTCTACTCTTTGGCTATTATGAATAATGCCATTATGAATATTTGCATACAAATTTTTGTGTGTACAAAACTTTTCTCTTGGATAGATATCTAGGAGTAGAATTGTTATTTCATCTGATAATTCCATGTTTAACCTTTTGTGGAACTTCCAAGCTGTTTTCCTAAGTGGCTGTACCACTTTATCTTCTTATCTATTATATGCACACCCCACTATTGTATTTTGGAAGAAGATAACTTGTTTTCTAATTTTACAAATTTACAGATAAAGAGAAATCTGCCCCCAAATGAGTCATACCCTGAGTCACCTATAACTGATTTAAATGATGACATTTGGGATTTTGAGTTGATATTGCTTAAGTGAGAGTTTTCACTCAAAATTGCAGCTGGAATGGTTAAGACTTTGGAGCATGTTGGTATAGAGTAAATA